AGAAACTCTGAAAGGGGAGCTTAATGATTATTGTTCAAGAGACCTTACGTCTATCAGCTATTGACGTTATATCAAGTGACAACGAAGATCATGACAAGCATTTACTTTAACGAAAGTAAATCTGTGAAGGAGACATAAGGTGAAGAATTGAACAGACAACTTTGAGAATTATACATGTAGTTACTGAAAAGTTGTGGGTCATGTAACCAGTATTAACATCCTTCCACCCCCCCCCCCCCCCCCAAGTATCTATCACAGATTCTGTTATTTCTTGAATGCAGCAATTCCACTTTGATTTACTTATAGACATTTGAACTATGGATTAAAAGTATGAAAATTTATTTCTTGTTGGTCTCAAAGTGATGATCCATTGAAAACAAGCATTCTTTTGAAAAACTGGCCAAAACACAACATGATCACTTCAAAAGCTAAACACTATCACAGCATACCGAGGAATATTCTCTTGACTAAACTGTAGAAATACTATCAGGAGTATTTTCACAGCAATCATCTCTGTTTATTGTCAGATATCAACGCCTGAATCTTGCGAAAGAATCAGGTGATGAAAGGGTTAAGGATGTATAGATAGTTAACAGAGATTGTGAACGTGTAGCAGAAGACTGTTTCGTAAGACTTCTTTTTATTTTCGTTCTACAATCTCTTGAAGATGCTTATGCATGTGCTTGCGTTTTGACTGGATATTGTTGCATAGTGGTTCAGTTAGTAACAACTGACATGCAATTAGTTCTAGCAAAGCCATTACCACTAAATGTAAACTTTAGGATTCGTTCATATTAGGCAGCACGTGAAGCTTGAATCGGATGTTATGGAGTATAAGGCAATAATTTATAAGTAAGAATCTGGAAGCTTCTCATCACAGTTTAATTACTTGCACTCATTTGGCTTACTGTAATGCTTCGAAAATTTGTATTCAAACATGATGCTAGAATGGAACTTTACATGAAAGCTGATACCTTCATGTACCACTTCTTTCTTATATTGGTCAAATGATATTTGTGACTTTTAGCACAGAATATTATCATAACTTTTTGCCTTAGTTGTATCCTTCTCGACAGGGTAATTGCAGATAAGCATAAAGTTGATTAAAAAGACTGGCAGGCAATATCTTGCTCCACAGGCATAGTATACGGTATTGAACTTCCAGAACCTTCTTCAGGCCCTAATATATGTACATCTGGTCAGTGTTTTTTCTATTTTTATGGATCATGATTGCTACTTCAAGGTCACTCAGTGTTCGAGAAGAGAACTCTTTAAAGTAATGTGAGCTCCATACTATTCTATGTAACCAATACAACAACTGTTGTTATACATGAATTTAAAAAGTACGCCAAATAAACATCTAAGGCTGATAAAATTTACGTTTGAAGTATAGCTAAAAGAAGTTCAATATTACAATATCAGTTGAAGACAGTTTTTACGGTAAATAACCCAGAAGTTAATTGACTAAAAAATACTCATGAAATTTTCGCAAACGAAGTTTAATAGTAAGAAGTATAGATAAATGAAGACAACAGTAGATAATGAACCTCAAAGTCGAGCTGAAGGTCATATAATCTACGAGATATTTCAGCTTTTTTATGTTTCAGTATTTTGTTTCCAGTGTCTTTAAAATTTCCCTTCATTTCATGATGAATAAATCCCATGTTTGATCTAATTTTTTTTATCTGATAAGATGCGCTATTTTATGAATCATGTTGATATTAGTTTCTCTAAGAAGCATATAGCTTTACTTGTTGATATTTATTTAGTAGTAAACACCTGAATCAGAAAATGTACAAATCTCGTGTATTCCAAGTTAGTTCATTGAAAATTTATTTGTGAAATATTAATTGGTTGTGGAATACACAAAATCCATCTGAATTATGATGAAACACATCAGTTTAGTTATTGGGTTCAACTTTAAATAATATAGTTACAGAATTTGCTAGCAACTACTTCAAATGTACATTACCTGATTTGTTCGCACTGTGGTCTCTCCTAGAAAACGAGAAAGCTATAGAATAGTACAATTTTGGTAAAATAAATCATGTTATCATCTGATTACCTAAAACAGTATGAACGACTAATAGAACCATGGACTGTTGAACAATAACCTTTAGATATCACCTTTGATATCTCTTCGTTCTTGAAAACAATGGAGAAGCTAATAATACTTGTGCTCGGACCCTAATAAAAGGCTTTTGGAGACCCTAATCAATTTATACATAAAAGCAGAAGAAGCACCTTGGATGTCACCACTGTCATATATCACAATATTGCTTGTAATCGTGACAGAAATCCCAAGTATGTCAGGTGTGCCTTTTTAATCTGTACTTCTGCATTTGATACTGTCCTAAGACCTCTTTTGCTCAACAAGCTACACGGGACTAGTACTGATTCCTGGATAGTCAGCTGGCTGCATTCCTATTTCTGTTAAGGCAAACAGCATACTGTTCACAGAGGGGAGCGCTCCCCCTCATTGCTTACTCTAACTGGTGTTCCCTAAGGAGTCTTCCTTTCTCGCGATCGTTTTTCTTTCTTTCTACATGGCTTAACATCTTTAGCTAGTGTCAATTGTATCAAATACGCTGATGATCTGGCAGTTTCCATACCTGTCTCCTCTTCAACAATAGTTTTAGACGTGAAAATAACCTGTGTAAACTCCTAAGTTCCATGATTCCTGTTCTATTGATAGCTGTGCATCAGAGAATGTTACAAATGTGATTAATCTCGGTGTATGCTTTTCTTCGAACCTTTCCTGGTTCTCCCGTATCTTACTAATTTCCAGAAGAATTTTCCACCTAACGTTTCATAGTAGGAAACCGAGAGAATCTGGTATAACTCAGACTCTTCTCTTGTGTTTTATAACATCCTGCATCTTGCCTGTTCTCCTCTATTGTCCCCCTTCATTCTTTCCCGGGTTGCTGAAAAAAAATGCTATATTACGTAGAAATTTGGAGATCGTCAGCAGAACTAGTAGTGTACCTCTTAACTCATGTGAACAACTGACAGGAGTTATTTTACCAGCTGACCAGCATCCTCTTCACACAAAGCTTTCTGTATGTCAGTTATCTGTAGAGACCAGAAGTAATTACATAAGACTTGATACACGTATTACTAAATATAAAGCTCTACACTACTGTATTTAGCTCGTCTCCTGTATGATGAAGAAAGTACTACAAATGAACTAACTAGTCAACTTCTGTTTTTGAAAGCAAGCTAATTGACGAATGCAAAGCTTGTTATTATTTATGTTTTCTGAATCTAATTACTAATGTGACCGTTTATCTAAATTAACTGTACATTTTCAAGAAAGTTGTAGATACAATGAATATTCTAATCTTTTATATATAATTTCTACTTATTTCATTTTGCTATGTATACATGTACACTGTTTCTGTCCAATCGATGCTATATGACATGCTGAAAATCCCGCAGAGCATTCTAGAAATAGCTTTCAGAATAAAGCCGTTACAGTTATTATTATTTGAAAGACGTTCAGTTTCTCGAAGACCATCGAAACGGTAAATTTTTAAGCTTACAGTTGAGACGACCGTTTGCAAAGTACAACGGTGTATATATATTTGCAATGCCTTCCGTTATTCAACCCCTTACAATAGAGTGTTCTTGTTTGATTTTCTCTTCCTAACCAGTGGTTGTGTGGATTTCTGGAAACTTCTGAACACCTTGAACTGGGTTTTAACATTTCTAAGAAATTCGAGATGAAATATCTAGACTGTAATGCTAAACATCATAATGCAACCTTAAGTTTTTAAGCAATACACCTCTTTTTCCTAAGACAAGATACTGCTAACAAAATCATGGACATACACTCCAACTGATGCATAAGCAAGTTTTACTTTAACCCAAAAATTGGAAGTTGTTGCACACATTCAATAACAATATATTACACTTTGTTTTTGTTACGGTAATCTGTTCGAGATATTTTTCTGAGATGGTCTTAATTTATCAGCTTAAATTTTTGTTTCATTGTAAAACTATGAAGGTACATTATCGGTATAGTGTACTCAGACAATGTTCTATTCAACTAACTACATTAGGTAAGACACTGACCGTGATACAACTTAAACTGGCTTTTAAAATCAAGTGAAAACACCATTAAGCAAATTCACACGCCTTTAGATGAAAGGTATTTTCATGAATTACCTGCAACCGAATGTTAAGGTTTGAATGTGTACTTTATTAGCTTTAAGTAATAAAGCTTTGTAGGTTAAAAGATCCTATCGATGCAATTAAGCAAAATAATCTGGTTTACCAGATCCTTTTAAATGATTGCGAGGTCAAGTACATAGGTTAAAACAGTCGACCAGGGTCGATTAGAATAAAAGAGCACAAATCTTAACTAAATCAAGATTGGTAGATCCTATTAAGATAATAAATCTAGAGAAAAACTCGGCTATAGCTCTGCATGCGATGACTCACAATCACACGGTAAGGTGGGATATGGTGACAGTGTTGAAAACTAACTTCGTTGGGTAGAGAGAGGGAGAGACTGATAACCGAATCTTTGTTTATCGAATCAACACCAAATACATGCAATCGAAATGATTCTGCACCTGTCCCAGATATTTGAAAAGTGCTACTGCCCTTGTTATCACAAAGAAGGAGAGAAAATTAGGAATATATAAAGTCTGTCTCGAAGTTGTAGTGTTACCTGATATGAATATGGACAATAAATTATGTCCGAAACGGTATCCAGTAAATGTTACTGTTTCACTGTGTGATATTTCTAATAAACAGACTGAAATGGAATTTCAGTCGACCACAATGCCCAAGTTTTACTCTTATATTAACTTCAATCTCCGAATCTGGAGTCTGTGATGTATACCATCTATCAATAGTGGAATAATCAGACATGATTCTTAGCCCTAATACTAGTTAGTCTGCATGTGACAACTAAGATGTGCTACCTTTAGAGATTATACTACAATTTATAACTGTTGAAAAATCTTCACACATGTTCATAAAAAATGTCTTCCTCAAACAATAATAGCTGATGTATTTTAATACTACCGCTTCAACTTTTCATTAAATTATTCAAAACTAGAATTGAACATAAAACAGAGAGGATGGCTTGATTCATTCCTTGAGTATATCTCTTGAAATTCATTGTTAATAGTTCACAAATAAAAGAATCTGTGCATATATTTGTGTATTTGTGATCGTTTTAATTTACTTCCAAAATATATTATGTGATATGCATATTCGAAGTTTCAATCTTGCAAGGAAGGAATGATAGTAACGACTTGGTCACATACAAAACAGCTGTACCACTTTATTTAGGTGCATATCAAATACAACAAGCAAACAGTAGAAGAAATTGCATTCGAAGGAAAACAAGCAAAATGAAAAATCACACAGACAAATGAACTCATAGATTGCATCACCCAGTAACTGTTCAAATGGTAATAAGATTTAAGCCGAGCAAGGTGTTTTCCATATCAATACAGCGAAGCGTCCAAGACAAAAATGAAACAGTGTACCGGGTTCATAACTGAATCTTGCCAAATGTTGATTAATCGATACAACTATGTGCCAAGATTTACCATAACGTGTATCAAAATATTCTTTCAAACGTTGCATTGCTTTATCTAATAATTCCATGTCAACATTCGTTTTACGACCAGATTCACGTAAATCATCGATAAACAGTTCCATAATTTTGAGTTTCATTTCTAAATCCATATCATCATATATGAATTCTAAGTCACGTGGTATTAACTGTTCAAGTAATTGTGTTGTACGACGTCTTCGTAACTCGCGCCTGAAAAAATTGGATCAGAATAAAGTTATTCATTGGCGATTATTTTGGACAAAGTAGCATTTCATTGATTGAAATCAGGGGTGTTTGTAAAATACACAGTTCATTGTGCGAATGTGATAGTTAAACACTACCCAGCTGTGAAATTTCCTTGTAATTCTCTATGAAAATAAAAAATTCAAATAGAAATATGTGACCTGCTAATTATCATAAACGGTATCAATATAGTTAGCGTGAAAGCTGAACGATATACACAACTGACTACTCACGTTGATCAAGAGAGTTCACAAACTGGTTCAGGGTAATTTAAATAACAGATGGTTGAGTTCACCTGACTCATTCAGGTAAGACAGTCAGTCTTTCAGACCACTGAGGTTCCACTTGATTAATTTAGCAGACTGATGGAGAATCAGATCAAGTGTTTTCAATCTACACAGTTTATGCTTTGGTTAAGAATATCATGTAAAAAGATAGTTAATTTTTCTCAGATATCGGTTATGCAATTGTATAAAATGATTGAGTTTGGAAGGAATTAAAAACTAATTGTTGACCAAATGGATTTTTGGTGAGATATTCTGTGTGGCATCTGAAAGGTCGACACTTATTTATGAATTGATGTGATTGGTTGTAACAGGATATAATTAGTGATTATCACTTTAGTCTCCAGTTATAAAAGTTTTAGTTGAAATAATAAATGTCTTCGTCACTGAAATGAATGAAAGTATCATAACACTGGCCAAAGTGGTAATTTTCATGATGTATTGCAGAAAACTAGTTGAACCGTTCCATTTTGATTACTAAACCGCTCGATTATACAGATGAATCTAAGCATGCGAAAAATACAGGTGCTTTATGTGTTTTGTATTGCATTTTTGAAATGTGATTCTTGTCGCTTTCAAGGTGAAATGTAGTCCATTTCGATTTCCAGCAGTCTGTTTTAGTGAATAAAATGTGTAAATTCATCAGCGGATCTTAGAAAGTAAGATATCAACCACTTCCAAGTGAAATATTGGTCAAGTGACAGCATTTCTATTGAACATTGAATATGAGGCTAAATTATCAGAATGATACACTCAATTCGTTCAGAGACTGAGCTACCTTGAGAACTTTAGTATATTTACCTGAGAACTGGCAACAAATTAGGAAAATAGACACTGAATTCGTGGTCAAATACCTATAGATATTCATAATTTGAGAAACTATTTAAAATTTACTTATTGTTAATCCCTGCTGAATGTGCCCCCTGTGTCCTTTTTTTATCTTCAGTTTTGTACTGCTTAGTATTTTTGAGTAGTATAATTCATGTTCCCTTATACTGTTGCTTGATCTACATCCTCGACTGTTCATTCTGTTCAGTCGTATCTTGTTTACCGTTTGACATCCGTAGACATTAGTATCTTTCATAGTTCATGATTATGTTGAAGCTCCTTTCGTTGTTCCCTGATGTTCGATTTTACCTTGAACACTTTATCTTGCGTCTTTACCTCATCATGAGTACTTACGCGTATCCTTAATGTTCCCTTCTGGTAGCTTGGACTGTCTTTGATGTTGAGGCACTCCTCGTAAAGCGCTTTGATAGCGATAAACCGCAGATATCTCTTGATTCGAGGTTTATATTTTATTACTTAATATTGCCTATTAATATAGAACCGTATTTCAGAAAAATCCTGTGTTTTGGATTTTACGCGTAACTCGAACGTTTGGTTTATTGTTGAGAAGTCGATTGTTTGCTTTGGTTCCGAATTTCTTGGTAAAAAATTCACACATATCTTTTGTTGTTTTAATATCATGATAAATCATATAAAAGACTCAACAGATTTCAGACAAGCTATATGCAACTAGAAGCAAAATGAAATGTAATGGGTGTTTTGTTGGTGAATGCTAACGCAAGAAGAAAATTCCAAACATTTCATCCTGATTAGGATTCTCAAACCCTTTTTGATATTAAAGACCGGCTATTTTGAAATCCTACTATTGTCAGTACGCACCTAATCTCTGAACAACCAAAATGGATGTATATAATTAGAATCTGAGGAAGAAGTTCCTGAAAATAATAATAAATGTTCATATTAATATGTTTTCAGTCAAGTGAAATTTTCAAAGATTCTGAAGTACATTTACTTGGTGACACTCACCGTTCGAATCTGATGTACCAGTTGGCTCAATTTCGTGCGCAAATATAAGTCTAGTTGCCCAAATCCAGTATTTTTGCGATCACTAAGCTATTCAGACAAACCATTATAAAAGGCGTACATAGTTGCTAATGTCCACTATTAGTCACCTAAGTTACTCAGATTGTTTGCCAATAAGTAAGCTCAGGGTTCCTATGAAAAGCATGATCAAGTCAGTTACAAAGTCAAAAAATTCAAAGGTCTTTTGATTGATCATGCTTATCTGCAAAGGTACCACTGGGAGAAACAATGTATGTCATATCATATGCCAGACCTACTTCAATTTCCAAAGTATAAATTCAAACCGCTTCTACAGATGTCCACAGAAAATGTCCAATTACAATTCAAAGCCATCTCATGTCGATGGAGTCTTCATGAATGGCCCTTCTGGTCTGATTCTCACTGCCATCTTCATGGGGAGTCTACAAAAGATATAACTGAAACTTCCGATTGACCAAACAGCATTCTGAGCAAATTTGTTGTATGCAATTATAGTGAACATGTCTCTGATTTATCCTACCCTTTGAATGAAGTACACTCAAGTATAGCATTCACAAAAGAGAAAGAAGGTAAAACAAATTTCACTTCCTAGATCTCGGCATGCAACTCAGTGCAGATGGACCGATTCACTGTAAAGACAATTAGAGTGATTTCTATTTAAATTTCAACACCTTTAACCTAATTAGGCACAAACAATCGGCCATAGACGAGGTAGTCAAAGCCAGGACCGGTAAAGCAAGACAGGCGTTCATCAACCTGAAACCAGTGTGGAGATATGCTGCACTCAGCATCAAGCGTGAATAACATCCGGATTTTCAACACCAATGTCAGTCAAGTCAGTCAGTGCTTCTATGTGATGCTTCACAGACTTGACGCCTTACGAAAAGCATTTCCAACAAACTACAGATATTCATTCATCAACAAATGCCTACACTGGCTCCTTACTGAAGCTCAGATGACCAGAACAACAAGAATAAGCAAGAAGGAACTCTGGCTGACTGGCTGGCTGGCCAGAATTGGCAACGAACCAATCAACAACAACCTATCACTCAACAAATATGCACTGGAACGAAGTGCAGAGATGGATTGGAATGGGCATGCACTGAGAAGACCATTCGGGGACATCACGTGCCAGTCTAGGTTGTCGAGTGGAAGCCAGATGGAAAACGACGAGTTGGACGTCCGTGGTGAGGGTGACATGGAGGAGATGTTGTGAGGAAGAAATGAGAGCTTGTTGGCAGTGGTGGAGCCAGGTTGAAAATATTTCAGTGAAGAGAGTGGAATGGAGGCGTGCTACTGAAGCCCTATGTTCCACTGGGAACCCAAGGGATAAATAACGATATAATAATAATGCGTGGTTACTGCACTTATCAAGTTCTGCTCAATTTTCTGAACACTGCTTGAGAAAAAGTGGTTGCACACAAAAGTTGGTTGACAGATGCCGTAAGATGAAGACGAAAAGAATCAAGTGCAATACAGTTGAAAAGAATCCCATCTTTCTAAACCTCACTCTCAAAGGAGATTAAATTGTCACACGGATGACCCACAGACTGAGTTCTGCGCAGAAAGAGACCTTTGCAACAACGAAGATAGTTTCTGTGTACCAGACTAACTGCTGAGTGAGACGATCCACAGTAGACAATATTTGCTATCGATAACTGGATCTACTCATTCATATGTACGTGCCAGAGCACATAGGTTACAAGACCAGAAAGAAGGGTTCTAGTCCGCATTTTTGAACAAATACCGAAGAATTTGAGTCTTAAGGGTCCACAAGGTTTAAATATCACAATCGCTCAGTATTTTAATCGATACCGGATATAACTTCGACTTATCAAAATCATTCAAAATTATCAACTAAAAAGTGGAATCCAAACTTTTTCACTTTAGTGAAGCAATTGTAGTTAAAAGACTCAAATCTGATACATATATTCAGAAAGGTACTGTTATAAGTTTTGTTTTATCTTGATAATTCTAATCTCCTAAGTCTATATGCCAAAAACTCCATGATCTCATGACCTTCTGTTCTTTTCGTTTTATCTTCCTATCTATATAACAACCCATTCTGAATTGCTGACTTGTATTCATCATCTTATTACCCAATATCATGAAAATCTGTTAACATTGTACTATGTTTACCTAATCATGATATCATTTTTACCATTTCTAGACTCAAATTGTGTTCAATCCCATCCTATCTTTTTTGTTATCTTCTCTAAAATGTTCATTGTGTCATTGTATAAATAATTAACCTTTCCTAAGATGTATTATTCTAATTATTATTTCGTCCACAGAACACTCATATAGTACGGTCGAGTAATCCTGTTTTCTTGTTTATCCCAATCTACTCTATACCAAACAATAGTTCTCATATGTTTATGTCACTGTGTTATGATGTAGTTAGCTAAACAACTTTAAGTTTCTACAAAGGAACCTGTTAATCAACTTGATCTAACTCGAGTTATAAATGAGGACTGAAATGGCGCAGATCAATGAGTAAATCCTATTCTACATATATTAGATGTCATAATATTTATAGTGTGATAACTGCAGGATGCAGTAGGCCCTAAATCCAAACGAACAAGTAACAGAAAGATATTGGCCTCAATGATAACTATGTTTTAGAAACATTCTCTTCAGCTTTCTGAAATCTTCTGACATTTACAGTTAACTGTCAGTTTTCTATTACTAATATAGAATTTTATCCTAATAAATGTAAACTTCCCTCTTCTTAGTAAGTTTTCAGTTAAGTAAGGACATTGATGAATGCTTACGACTACCTCAGAAGTGGAAATCACGAATGGAAACGTGACCTAGCACTTTCCAGTTTTCAGTTCCTGTCTGAATAATAAATATGTGAGTTTGGGAGAAGATCCATTGTGAAATGATACTAGTCGATTATGCTGTTGTATAGTCTACCTGAGCAATAGAATAAACATCATAGTTGAACATGTTGTCTATTTTTAAAATCCATAAAGAAACGTTATAATAAATGCTTTCTTCTTATGAAATGTTGACTGAGTTTATCATTAAAAACACCATTTTACCTCAAATCTACAACAGTTAAGATTCAGTCCTGTAAAATTATAATCATAGTTAACAGTTATACCATATTATTTACATCAAAGAGTATGTCATTACATATATCCAATCGAAGCAAAAGATTTTTTTGAGACTTACGCTTCTTTAGGAACAAGACCCAGTGCTTTGCAATATTGGTCCAACGTTACAATGCCGGTTTTTTCAGCATCGAAACGACGAAGAAATGTCTAGTGAAGAGAATAAATGGAAAATGTTATTACTCCTTCTTAATTGTAAATCAGCAAAGCATCTACTGTTCAAATTAAATACCACACCTATGAAAAACGTACTATATTTAGTCGCTTGTTTCGAATATCTAATCTATTTCCCCTATAGTAACCAGGATTCCTCAGTCGAATTTTGTATGATGACCAAACTAACCGGTTGAAAATAATAATATATGGTGTTGATAGCTGGATGGTTGCGAATGAACCAATTTGCTAAGTTTACTGAATACGAATCAAAGTCAGAAGGGAAGTAACTTTCAGCGTTAACAGGATCCGCTGAATTCTAGAGCATAAAGTTTATGATCTAATGGTCTTGAGTTGTCTTACCTAAAATTTAATGTGTGTTCTAAGGCTAACTATATGAAGAATTTCCACACAGACTTTACGTCTGTTTGTATTTACTTACCAAAAGTTGTTTTAATCAGTCAATAAGTAAGAGCCATATAGAAATGAGTGGAGAAATGTGAAAATTTCGACACTTGAAATAGTCCCCTTTATAAAGTGAAACATCACACAATTTGTATGAACTACATCTTCTTATTGTTTCTTTTTTCGAAAATCTCAAAAATTTATACAGTTTAAAGAAAGATTAATAACATACCCAACGTTTTTAGACATATCTAAGTGTGTTTTCATAGCTTAACTTTAAATGATGAAACATTGCCTATCAAATGCTTGAACAGATTTAGAGCAATGTTATAAAACTTCGATGAAAATTTTTATATCACAAAAATATACTGCTGTATTTAATTTCTAAAAGATGGTCATAATTAAAAGATGATTTAGCCAGCGAATAATGCCTGAAAAACAAGTTGAGCCTCTTATGCCTTCTTTCTACTTGTTTGATTAAAAAAAAATTTTTAATGTGAAAACTTTATTTCTACCGAATACTATTATTGTAGAAGTAAATCTTATTACAATTTTTACTATTTGAAAAGAGGTCCAGCGGTTGCTGTCAATATCACTGTGCTATCTGAATAGCATAGTATAAATGCAAAGCTTTAAGTGTCAGTTTGTACAACTTCATCAGCGGTTTTAGAATTTCAGCTTCTTTAATGCCTCTCTGTATGAAATAAGTCAACTCACAGTTTATTGTTACTTGGCTATGAAAACATAAAAATAGACTGTTATCCGGTTACTTCAGAATTTCATTTTTATTATTTTCTATATGGTAAATATGATTGTAAGTTTATTTCATTGTATATCTCCCATTGTTGAAATAGTTTGTCGTTTATCACTGATTGACTCACTGTAGATAAGTTACGTTTATTATACTGTCGTTTGGCTGGTGGTGACTGGCAACTGAATCAAGGACGTATTAGATTTGTTTATTTGGTTTATAACACACAATGGTCTAGTATTATTCACTTGGTGACGTTTCGAGCATAAATTATCATTACTCATAATCATATCAATGTTTCATCCTATTTAAGATTGGTTAGCTGGATATACCTGCATGCAGGTGAATGATGGTAACCACAGTGGGACTCGAACTCACCACCCATCGACTCACACATCAGAAACCGACCAATCCAGCCTAGTATAATAAACAGCAGGAAATATGAGAATAACTGAAGACCAAGTGATGCTCACTGTATAAGAGGTGGATATCGTCACTCAGTGGCCTAGTGAATAGCAATCTTGCACTTGAAGTGATTGGTGCCGGTTTGGGTGCCCAGTGGTGGCATTGTCACACACTGGGATGAATGTAAACTCTGCTTACAAGCCATAAGTAAGACCGAATGAACATCTTGGAGTCAAGTGCTAACCACCACCAACCAAATCGTATCATAATCAGGATTAAGACACATCCTCATACGGCCGGTATACCAGCAGAGACTAACCAGTTTGGTTCAAAATAAACGTCAGTGGTTAAGTACCAGTACCATCTAGTTACTTTGAATAGTGCTACAGCAGCTGGTGACTGAATATAAGTTCCACAGGTTTAATTGTTACAAAACGGATTGTTGAAACCGAAATGAAAAGCCGGGTCGTGTCAGGACTCAATCCAGCACCCCTCGGGTCACCGGTCTGGCACTGTACTAACCGAGCTACGTGGTCCAAGTGCTGGCCAAGTCCTTATTTTACTCTCATCGTTAAGGCGTTCACCCTAGCGCTATGCGAATTAGTAGTGTCTTACAATCTCTTCATAGTAACCACATTGACCGCCCAATGAGTTCTTCTCATCCCAATCCAAATCAAACTGAATCAGAGAGAACAAGCATCATATTGATTATTAAACTGATTAACTGAGATAGTAACGGTTTATCAGACTTCGCGAAACCATTCAAAACCCTCGGAAATTGAAGAGAAACTACTACCTGGTCATCAGATATATCTCAAAATTCATTTGGTAGATTACTGGGGTGGCGGAGTGAAGACCACTGGATCGAGTTCTGCCGTGACACGGGTTTTTATTTCACTTTCAGTCATCACTCCGTAACAATTTGAGGCTCAGGTTGTTAATGCTGTCTTCGAAGAAGCTTCATCATCTAGTCTTCAGCTGAAATTTCTTTCCAGATTTTCTCGAGCTAAGAAAATTAAAAACCTATTGGAGCTTTTCTAGTCATTATTTCTTTAAACTTACCGTGTTCTTTCATGAATCTAATGGAATACATTCTATCATATACTTAATCAAATTCAGTCATAGCGATATTATTAACTGTTAGTTCAGCCTAAATCATTTTTTCTGGTAGAAGATGGTTTGATTTTGAATATCGTTCATTTAATGAGTAAACTCAATTTATTTTTGTTTGAAAAGTGTACCATAATCTGTTTTCCTTATCATATATTCAAAGGATGTGACTTATATTTCTCGAAGAAATTTCGATGTGAATTTCAGATACAACATCTATTCAGTGCATGGTATAGTTTTATTCTGCTTTATCACTAAAACTTATTTTACGCATCGGCTACCTACGAATGGCCATTACTTGTACATAATCTAGTCTCACAGAGGGTCGATCGTTGCCTAATTAACCAAAAGATTAAGAAAATGTCTGAATTCAGCACTGAATAACGCAGTTTTGAACTACCAAAAGAATAACCGTTTCTTCACGTTTGCAGATACGTTTTAGTGGTTAGTCCAATACAAGCGTAAAACCTGTATCAAGCAAGGTCCACTTCCATGTGGCTCCCGAAATCTTATAAGAGAAGGCTTTTTTGACACTTGATCGAGTCATCAAAATCTGCTTCTAGTTAAAATCATAAAGATCTTTAAGCTAAACAGTATCATTGTAGTAAGTGAAATCAATTGGGAATTTCTGTCTTGTATTCTTTTAACTTACTTCAGGGAAATTATCCTGTAAGTTATTTTTCTTATTGTAAGCACTTAATTCATTCAGTGATATTTGTTCACGATTATCAGTATCCAGAGCGAAAAACGCATCCAAAAATGAATCCATCTTGAAAAGATTAAAACACATAGTATAAAACATTCAATTATATTACAGAACAGTATAATAAATACTATTTTTTACAGTCATTCATTGTTTAGGTATAAAATTAGAAAATGATGTAATTTCATTCAGCTTGTTTCAGTAACACCTATTCTTTAAGCCTTGTAGGCAATATCTGGTTTTATGGAAATCAGATAGTAATGAACCTGCACTAGACTGAATCCTCAGTTTTTTCTTAACTCTTTATTCATCTTGTAAAAGCACTAAAATGTTTATGTGGTAAGACTCTTTATTTAGCAAATACTTCGATGATACCCTGTTGCAGTAAAAGCAGAATTTCGCTCCTTGTTGTCGTATATTTTGAAAACAGGATACATATTTATAGAGAACAAATTCATATTTAAAATTAACCATCTTCCTTAGAAAGATGCTTGTATGAAGCTGAACCTGAAGTAACAAATAACCGTCTAAGGTATGAAAATTTTAATTGTCAGAAAGATAGAACTCTACCAATCTATCTCAATATAATTGCTTCAAGTTGCTACTATTATTCTACCCAAATAGATAAATATACGCTTGTTTTGAGTGAAGGAAACTTCAACTAATTAACCAAGAAAATTCAGTCCAATTTATTTTATTGTAAGTTCTTCCAACTAGCCAAACCCACGCATTCTCCACGCTAGTTTAGCAAAGTGGTACTAGACAGCTCCACTAAAGTTTTCCGAGATCAAGATAAATCAGAGTAGAGGCTGGTTTTCTGAATCCTCCCACGACTGAGACCTTTCAACTCCACTTATCATCTCCTTTAATTAGTCATTAATCAGTCCACTTATCAAAGACTGTGTCAGACAGTTAAATTGCTGTTCACGTAGGATTGTTTGCCAACCATACAAACCATTGAAATATTCAATTTTTTGAAATATATGGGTTTTTCATGGTGACCATCCCTGCATGAACAGTGAATCTCTATAAATAAACTGCCTTTTGTATTTACTTCACTTGAGATAGTGGAATTAAATGAGCAGTTCTAAGAACTATTTGAGTCAAAAACTTACCAACGTAAGCATTCGTGCAGAAGGTACTATCTTTCAGCATGATATCACTTTGCACAATGATGCTATGACATCATTTTATTACTCTATCGCCTGGTTTCTGGTGAATTTCATTTTATATCTTCTTAGCGCACCGGAGTGAAGACAAAATATTATTGAACTGTAAAATACTTCCAAAAGTAAAGGCGTAGAATGTTCCAGAAAAATGGTTGGTCATTTGACAACTTGTAGTCTCCCTTCCTCTTACCGGATCAAAATTTGTCGTTTACTGTTGGCGAGCGCCTTGATGTTGCTACTAGTTTTAGTTGGATGATAACTATAGATACTGGCTACCAGAAAATTTCAGGACGCGCTTTTTATCCTATGTCGATAGTGATGGACATAAAACTATCAGCTATGACCAGCTTCACATGAAGTCATCCCAGGGACTTAGTTAATCATAACCCACCCACTCAAATCTTCATCTGCTTCTATTTTAAACATTATATATATATATATATATATATCATTCACAGTCCTAGATTACAAACGACTGTCTACTGCCAACCTATTCGAATCACAGTCAAGCATAATAAGACCATTGTTTTATTTTAAATCCGAACACATTCTATCCCATCTATCTATTACCTTTACTATCTGAACTACAATTCGCTTCACGCTTTACTCTGCCTATTTTATAAGGACATTTGTGATGCATAATATTTGTAGAACCTGATGAGGAGAACCCATTGAAAGTATGTTCGTTTGCTCGAAAAATCATTGTTTTGAATGTTAGATGGAAATCTGTAAGCTAATCATAAAACATTACTCATTGAACCTGTTCAACAGAATATTTTCAGTAAGCAAATTGAAACACCAACAGAACAAAAACAAACTGTCAACAATAGATAGGTCGTTTCATTGAGTAGAATATTCGAGAAGGGGAAGACATCTACACATGAAAGGTAAAACTACTTATAACAGCGGTTCATTTGACACAGAGAAAGGTAATCTAGAACAAAGCTATAACATTAAGTGAGATAAGCTTGAATTCAAGACCTCAAAAGATGGTTTAATTGATAAGTTGTGTATTGCTGAAATATTTACAACTCGTTGGTTACGAACATGAGAATGCTGCGTCACATGGCTTTTTATAGCTTCATTCAATTAGAATAAGACTCAATAAACATTTTAAAGACAAACAGATGATAAAGTTTGATTTACTTAAATTTACAAAAGCAGCCATGCTGAACTTTGAGTTAAGCTTTGATTTACTGTAACTTTCGCTGCCTTACTCTATTCTCCCACTTTCCTAAACGTGAGATCATGAATATGTAGGTTAAAATGATGAGAGGTTCATTGGATACATTCCTAATAGGTTTTTCATCAGCATTCATGGCAAACAAATTACCCTAGATTGTTTACTTAACCGCTAAGAACGTTTCGATTTTAGGCTAGGTATAATCACATCGCCTCGGTTTTCTTCTTTTTATTTAGTGATACTGATTAATCTCCTGAAATGAGGCTTCAAACAGTCTTTAAACTATCATCATCATAATTCACTTTATTCCATCATATCAATAAAGCTAAGCTTAATACTTAAGTAAGATATTTGTACGTGGTAGTTCTATCAAGTTAGGGAATTCATTCATGTATAAATACTTTTAAATTATTTAGCGGAAATATAAAAAACTTAAATGCATTCAAACAATCTACAAAATGCTAAACAGTTGAAGAATAACTCGTAGCATTTATGTAATTTTCTGGAGACCATGAGATTCGGGAATTGATATACTTAGGTTCAGTTTTAGCAGTAAAATATATGTCATATCCATGGAAATGACAGTAAATATTGTCATGATATCTGTCTTTGTTAAATCAAAAATAAATTGATTTTACCATAATTATTATTATTGTTGTTTAAATTATTATTTCAAGGTCTTACATGTAGATGTATGTGAGGAATGCCTTCAAATTCTGTTAGGTAGCTTAAATGCCTCAAGTTGATAATTACCATTCACAAGTATAAAAACAATTTGACCAATAAAAATAACCGATTTCACACTTTTTACTGACACTTGTAATCCCCCAAAATGATTGGTTGCCGTTAAAATATGGACTTCCGTGTAAATAGTTCTATGTTGCCTATAGTTTCATTATGTTGTTATTCAGTCGCTGATGGCTTGCGGTGGGATATAAAACGAGCGTTTCGTTCTATCGCTAACTCGTCAGCTGGATACACCTGCAACCCAGTGAGCCACCAAGATACAAACTAAATAACAATGATTCCATTCTATACCTAGTCGGTTGTTCCTATTTTAAAAAGGAGAAAAAATATATACATGTATATTTATTCAAAAGTAAGTTTATCCCGATTATATGAAGTGAAATATTTACTTGAATACATTGCAATTCAAGGGGTGGAATATTGTATTCGTCTTGGTGACTAGGAGTAGAATCAAGGACGCGTCTTTCTCGCTATTTCATACGCACCCTAGCAAGCTATGTTATTCCTACTAAGTCCCGAATCCAGTACCTATAGTTTCAAACGCCAAAGCGTTATCCAACAGGCAACTGGAGTACGATAGATACGTCTTATGAAACGGGTATCAGTTGTTGTTCTTCTATACAGCGTTGAATTGCATGACCTCAAGACAAGCAAGGAAAGTATGGATCTATGATTTTTAAAATTTTCCCATGAGTTAAAATTAGATCCACATTTGTAGAAAAACAAAAGGTTGTAAAAAAACATCGGCACTTTCTTTATCCCACCGTATAGGTATCAGTATCCTAGAGATTCTAATATTGCTGATGAATAATAAGAACAGAAAATACTTCACTTCTCACACTGATTGATCTGCTTACTCTTCATTAAGATTCATTAAACTACTCTACTTAGCATGCCGATTTTCATCTTCAACGATGAGTTTAATACGAAACCACTGTCAGAAAATGATTGATTTCTGGTTTCCCAGTCCTTCACTTCGCCGATTGATTTATGAGACTGAATTGTTGATCTAATATGGCTAGATCTGCTTAAATGAACACCAACCTGACAACTGTATGCTATCACACAATCTTAAATGAGCTTTCACTCAGTCGATCCCTCTGTTCATCAGTTTATCGTCAAAAGAAAATCTGACTTGTAACTGATGTGATAATGAAGATGAACCATCACACACTGATTCAAATAACGTGATTTCAAAACTGTTAGTGACTCAAGTAACATTGGTCCTCAACCAGATCTGCCTTATTTGTGTATTATAGCTGATTATTCGCTGAAAAGAACTATATTGTTCACAGTCATAATCAGCAAACCCTTTGTTTGTTGCAAATTTCTTTTTAGAAAACAATTTTCTACAATAATTTATTGCCTGTTCACTTCACTGTACAGTTTGAGTTACAGTATCATAATTTAACATTCAGATAATTGAAAATTAACAAAAGACATAAATTATGAAGTAATCAGGGATAATGGAATCAAGGATGTACGGTTCGTCTTAATGGGGGTTAGTCAGATGGATATACTAACCTTAGTGAACGGTTGTTTCCAGAAAGACTCGAACCAAAGGCAGACCACTTCAAACAACGGAATGCTGTAGAGTCACGATGGCCATATTCAAAAAAAAAGTTGTTTAACTCTTTATCAGTACATAAAAACAACCATATTATCTTTTCGATACACTTTAAAACTGTAGATTTCCGGAGAGATTTGTTGATGGTATAGTGAAATTAGAATCTATATGGACTAAGTGCTACTTTATTAGTTTGATCATCTAAAAATCTAATGGAGACTACGGACAATAAAAACTGTTATTGTGTACAACTTGAGATACTTTTGACTCATATTGCCCATTGTTCCTGATGCATAACCTCTTACTGTTAATCCATTAGTTCTCAAAATATCTAAGATATTCAATGGTTTCTTACCAAGTTTTCACTGATCTATTCAAAATTATTTTCTTTTTACACATT